CTATCTCTGCCATTTACGTTTCGCTCTCTCCGTCTCTCGCTCTCTGCCTCTCATCCGTTCTCACTCTTTCTTTCAGGCTATTGAATTTGTATAAAACCCCAAAAGTGGAAATATTGGGTGGCCCTAAAAAGGGCCTTTGGAAAACAATTAATCAAGAAGGCTTCACTGAGGAGCAAAAAATTCTTCGAAAGAAATTGCCTTTGCCTCTCCTTTGAACTGCTGGTCTTTCACTTGACTTACTTGTCCTTCTAGACAGCCAGCGCAACAAATCCCGGCGCCTCCTTGTAGGTGTCTCCACCGCAAGGGATGTCTCGGACTCAGGTAAGTCAAGTGATTGATGTCTCAAATGCTTGAAATGAGCCATCGCGCTCAGCAGTTCTAAAGGTGCCGGGCAAGAGAAGAAGAAGCTGAAGACATTGGGCCTGGCTTCATGTGCGGGCTCGATTACTTGTGCTTGCCATAGCTGTCTGAGGACAGCAGGGTCTGGCATTTCTTCTTCCCAGGCATTCATTTCCTCTGGGGCTGGCTCAGGCTGGGGACTATCCTCCGTCTGGGTCGAAACCTCTTGACTCTGATCGGTTTCTGTAGAAGCATCTTGAGTGCTTGGACGGTCCTCAGTATTTGTAGAGGCATCCCTTGTGCCTTGACTAGAGTCAGAGCCCGTAATTGAAAATGGCCATTCGGCGTTGCCGTTAATTAGTTTTCTCATGATATATATGTAGATTAATCTCGCAGACATTTTGATAATTCAAGAGCGCTTGAAGGATGCATCCAACCTTGGATCACAACACCCTGACGAGTCTGAATCAGTGACTTAATTATAAGTTCAGTTGCGGACCTCCTAGAGCAGCCATTCTTCTCACGATTCTGATGTTCTTATATGCCAGCAGAGCGTAAACAGTCAGCCAGTTCTCGCCAAGTCATTCTATTATCTGCTACTCTTACAGCTGTCCTTGTCTTCCCATGTCTTCACCCCCACCCCCCAAACAACACCTCCCTCCACCCCTCAACAAGACCTCTCACCTCCCGATTGTCTTATAACCACTCAACATTAAATGGTCGATGAAGTGGTCGATAACAACTTCGGCCGTCTTTACTTCCTAGAGTATTTTCCTATACCCTTTGTAGGTTCAGTCGATATGGCACACCTGTGACTTCTTCTTCTTCTTCTTCTTCTTCTTCTTCTTCTTCTTCTTCTTCCTCCTCCTCCTCTTCTTCCGCTCATTCTTCTTCTCCTCTTCCTTTTTTCTTCGTCTCCTCCTCCTCCTCCTTCTCTTCCTTTTTCTTCTCCTTCTACTTTTTCTTCTTCTCCTCCTCCTTCCCACTTTTCTTCATTTTCCTCTTCTTCTTCTTCTCCTCCTCCTCCTCCACCTGCTCATTCTTCTCCGTCATCTTCTCCTCTGTCTTCTTCTCTTTCTCCTTCTTTCCATCCTTCTGCATGCAGGAAATGTTGTATTTATTTCATGTGGAAATTGCAATCTTTACCTCACTTTGAATTGCTATCTTTACCTCACTTTGAATTGCCATCTTTACCTCACTTTGAATTGCTATCTTTACCTAACTTTGAATTGCTATCTTTACCTCACTTTGAATTGCTATCTTTACCTCACTTTGAATTGCTATCTTTACCTAACTTTGAATTGCTATCTTTACCTAACTTTGAATTGCTATCTTTACCTCACTTTGAATTGCTATCTTTACCTAACTTTGAATTGCCATCTTTACCTAACTTTGAATTGCTATCTTTACCTAACTTTGAATTGCTATCTTTAACGCATGTATGAATTACTGTCTTTACTGTATGTGTTGTGGGAATTGCTGCCTTTCCAGCATGTATGGATTACTTCTTGAGAACGCATGTTAATTACACAAAAACCATGACACTGGGCTACAGCCTGGTATCAGTCAGATGACAAAATCATGACAATGGGCTACAACCTGGTATCAGTGAGACGACAAAACCATGATACTTGGCTGCAACCTGGTATTAGTGGGACGACAAAACCATGACACTGGGCTACAACCGGGTATCAGTGAGACGACAAAACCATGACACTGGGCTACCACCTGGTATCAGTGGGACGACAAAACCATGACACTGGGCTACAACCTGGTATCTGTGAGACGACAAAACCATGACACTGGGCTACAACCTGGTATCTGTGAGATGACAAAACCATGACACTGGGCTACAACCTGGTATCTGTGAGACGACAAAACCATGACACTGGGCTACAACCTGGTATCTGTGAGATGACAAAACCATGACACTGGGCTACAACCTGGTATCTGTGAAACGACAAAACCACGACACTGGGCTACAACCTGGTATCAGTGAGACGACAAAACCATGACACTGGGCTACCAATTTGGGGTTAAAAATCTACCAAAAGTGTTTCAGGATCCTCGCCGGTGCTACAGAGCCTGTGCACTGTGCTGAGCTTCTTCGAACTCAGACTTGAGTTAGAAGAAGAAAGGAGCACTTATGGGTTACTACCCGTGTGCCAAGATGTTGATCCGTTGTTCAAACTTTAAACCTCAAACCATTTGATCTTCTTTTCCATTTCTGATTTCTCTCAATTCCAAGTACTGAATATCTGGCGTTTGCTTTTGGCTGTAGCTGTTCGCCACCCCCCCAACCCCTCCCCACCCAGATTCGTTATGTGTGTTTCCGGTCTTTGCAGCTAGCCCTCCTCTTACTGCATAAGGCAATCCTAATCAGCACAAAGAAACATCTTATACAAAGCATATTTATTACCAACCGATGCTATCAGTGCCAGGAGTGGTCACTCAAATCAAAACATTAAATAAAAATAGTAACCATGGAAATGAGATGTCTGAGAAAGACTGTAGGATTGACAAGAAGAGATAAACTCATGAATGAGGTCATACGAGATAAAGTCGGCACAGAACCAATTCTAAATTACACACAAAGACAGCGAATCAAATGGTCACCAATATAAAAAGAGGAGAAAGACGTCGATCACAAGGTAGACCAAGAACAATATGGGAAGATAACATCAGAGAAACTCTTTAGCACCACGATGAGTCTATGGTCGAATCAGCCAGAAAGCACGGAACAGGACCTTATATCTCTCTCGACACTTGAAGCAGTAACGGAGGACAAAAAAAGAAAAAGAATAACGTGAAGAAGAAATCTATGTTATCTGCATATCCAAGTACTCGTGCTGTTTCTTTTCTCCTATAGAATAGTATTCCTTTACCTTCTTTATAATTTTCTGTAGGGCCAAGTTAAAGAGAGGCGGGGACAAGGCATTAACATGCAATATATAATTTGTTATTCGAAAAAAGTATGAATTTCTGCCCTTGTAAGTTACTATTTTATTCGTGACTTCCACGCAGTCTGGTCATGTTGACTTGGCAGCCTATTCTCTGCAGAAAATATTTTTTTAAAATTCTATGTTACTTTTTTAAGTAGAAAAAATATTTTACGAGTAGTTATAATTTATAGAAGTAAATAAACATGTTATCAATATCAGAGGGGTCGAACAGGAAACAGACTGTAGGCTAGAACAGGCCCGGGGCAACTGCAGCAATGAATCACCGATCGTTTCCTGAATATCATCAACATTGATTACCTTCTTGATCGTCGCTTCTAACGTCTTCTGCTGTAATCATGGCCGACAGACGCACTGAAATCGCCAGAAAAAAGGCTCAAATCGAGCAGCTTCGGAAGGAGCGCATGCAGAAGGAGATTGCGAAAAAGGAGGTAGTTGAATTAATAGTTAAATACGTTTGTCAGCGAACTTGTTAGATTGACCATTGACTGATTTGTGTAAAGTAAATGGAGGAGTGCCGAAGAGAGAGCACGTACCAGGTTTTTCACTGCAGTCAAAATTAAATTAATTAAAAGAAGTGGCACTCTTCCGAATACCGGCCCCATATTATTTGCTGTCCAAAACATTCCTGTTAGAGCCTCAAAGGGTTCAAGAGGTTACAAAGAGGTCAAGGGGTTATAAAGAGGTTATACAAAATATGGTACAACAAAAAATGGTACAATACGTAGATCATCATCAGTTTCCACATCTGCGCGTTAAGCGTTGTGAGAAATAGTTTTCGATTGAAAGCGTTGTGAGAAATAGTTTTCGATCGACTGAAGTGACGTGGGGAGGAATAATTTTCGATCCATCGGAGCGCTGAAGTGACGTGTTATACAAAATATGGAACAACAAAATATGGAACAATATGGAACAATACGTACCAATAATGCCGTGAAATAATTGAGGCCATCATCATCAGTTTCCACATCTGCGCGTTAAGCGCTGTGAAGTAGCGCTGTGAAGTGACGTGGGGAGGAAAAATTTTCGATCCATCAGAGCGCTGTGTCGATGGGTGGCAACGTTAAGATCATCATCATCAGTCTTTACTTCTGCCGTTAAGAAATAGTTTTCGCTGCACTGAAGTGACGTGGGGAGGAAAATTTTTCGATCCATCGGAGCGCTGTGTCGATGGGTAGCAACGTTAAGATCATCATCATCAGTCTTCACTTCTGCCGTTAAGAAATAGTTTTCGCTGCACTGAAGTGACGTGGGGAGGACTAATTTTCGATCCATCGGAGCGCTGTGTCGCTGGGTAGCAACGTTAAGATCATCATCATCAGTCTTCACTTCGGCTCTACTGGCAAATCCGGACGAAGAATTAACAGCCTTGGACGACTTAGTCAGAGTTCTCTCCCGTGGCCGCACTCCAAACAGTGATCGGAAAAGCCACAACGAAACAAACGACACAAGAAGCAACATGGCAGTTAGACGCACTCACATAACTAACATCGTTATTCCGACGCACGACTTAGTTGCCACGGACGTAACTCCTGTATGCCATAATGACATAAGTATGCGTGGCTGCGGTGGCTAACTGAGCATAGCCTGATAAGGAACACGCAACCGTGTACCTCGTGCACGCGGCCAATGTTCCTATGTCCCCGGCAAGACTGTAGCGACAGATACGGTTGGCGATGTTATCGCTGTAATACTAGGTGTAGTGTTTGCACTGGGTCGTTTTTCGCCAACAGCGACATGTCGACCGAGAAAATACTCGTGATGATGTACTACTGGCTCTCCGGCGTCAGTTCAGCGACTGTCATGGTCCTCGAGAGACTCACGAACTGGCACACCATTGTCAACTACAACATCAGGAATGCTATAATTGGATGTTGAGACACACCGTGGAGCTGGGAGGACTCGATGAGACCGGCAGATTCAATCAGATTATTAAATTACAAGAAGCCAAATCAGGATTTCAGAAGAAATAAAAACTGTCGGCCTGTTTCTCTAAATATCTAATGCATTTGATGTATATTAAAGAGAGCGCTGCGTTATACCTGCAACAATATCATATCTACTTTGATGGATTTTAAAATACCAAGATGTGTAGTAGAAACGACATAGCAGAGAAGATATACTTGGCTACAACTTATCTAAACACAAGAGGATGTTCAGTATCAATGAAGTGTGTACCACCTGCTAGTGCGGTCACTGAGAAAATGAAATGACAGACGAAAAGAAGGAAATGCAGAAAACAAAATGCAATACACTTTCCGTCAAGAAAAGTGGCAACTCTGCCAATAATATTTGACAGTTATATGTCGAAATTGTGGCACAACAGCTGTAAATACTGTCCAAAAACATGTTCTTTGTGACTGTGGCGCCACTGAAATTCGGCTAAATATGTATTAAACAATGCACGACTAGTGCCGCCTTGGAAACGCTGTTTCCTTTTGACTTGCATCCACAGCCCTTCAATTGTTTGGGTGTGTATGTCTCCGTGTACACGGTCAACAAAATTAATAGCATGAACAACAACGAGATGTTCATATATGCCATTGTTGAGTTGACCAACGTTGTTGTAGCCTCGCCAGGCATCGGTGACAATCGTCGTTCCTGGTAACACATGCTCACTTATGATGCGTTCCAATGTTGTCGCATCTCGCCTATTAACAACTTCCAACCAGCAACGGCCACTACCACGTTCAACTAGCCCAACTACCCATTGACCACGACGAAAGTAAACACGATGGTACTTGCGGTGGAAAAAATAGCTCTCGTCAACTTCAACAACCACTGACTGTCCGTTAGCATCAAATCCTCCCAACTGAGGGTTGCTAAGCAGCAGCCAGTTGTAACACTCTACCCGAAAATAATTGTTATAGTTGACTACTGTATCACAGCTTGTCAATCTCTCAAAAAACATCACATTTTTTTGCTTGACTTCGAACAACCAGTAAAACATTACCATCACAATTCTTTCAGTTGGGAGTTCACAATTAGCGAAGAACGAACCCGTCCGTACACTGCAACGAGTATTACAGCGACGACATCGCCAAGAGAATCTATCGGAACATTCTAGCCTTGACACTAATGACATCCGACGGTTGCAAGACGAACAGTCTACTGAGTTCCGTATTATTCTGTGCATAGCGAGCCATTGCAACCACTGTAGTTTATCGTCCATTATTCTATATAAATCATCAGGTGTGACATCTACAGCTGCCAGTTGATCAACTTGTAGAATATTATTGCTTATAAGTTTTGGAGCCGATGGTCTGCCTGCCATAATTAAAAGTAGCTGCACAAATTATCAAAGAAATATTTCCACTTTATTCGCAACTTTTGCCGATAAGCAATTAATTATCTACGCAAGTGCACAAATTCGCAAAGAGACTGTGACGAGGTGCATTCGGTGAGTCCAGAATTCCTTCTAAACGCAACAACAACAAAAGTACACAAGTCCAACAGAAACCTTTACAAAGTGAAACAATGAGGTGACTGAACAGCAAACCCAAGCGATCTTCCTAGCAGCGATCAAAGTGTCTGACCAACCAACAATTTATCTCAGTGGAATTTAACGTTAGCTTAACAGCTGGACGAGGGAACGCATCTACGTTGAAAAATTATGCAATCTTCCAGTCGAACGGACAAAAGATCTGAACTTGCGGACGGGCAGGTGGCTAATTACCACGGGTTAGAGTTGAGACGTAGCGGGCATTCTCAGACCAGTCGACAACTTTGATGTCCAGAGTTCAAACAGGATAGCGGGTCCAGTTGTCTAAGCAAGCGAATTTCGCACATTAATGTGATACACGTAATCTACCTAGTGATGTCTAGTGATGTTACAACATACTCGTAATCACAAGGGCGGCTGAAAAGAATGTTGTAAAAGGCAACTAATTAGGACTGCTGAAATCAGATGTGTTGGGGCGAAAGGCGCAGATATCGCAACCTAGCACGAAAGGTGCAGATATAGCAGCGTATTTGTAAACCACAATACACTATGCCAACCGCCATTTCAAGGGCGAACAAAAAAAAAAAAGGAGATTAGCTGCCCGTGACATGACCATTGAGCATTTCGCCGCCGCTATCGCAGCCTAGCTGTTAACTACAAGACCGAGCGAAAGGCGCAATCGCAGCCTATATCGCAGCCTAGTTGTAACCACAACACAACGTGCAAACCACCCTTTTAACTGCTTATCAACTGTTGTAACTACAAAACAACGTCTAAGCCACCCTTTTAAAAGTGAAAAAAAATTTGCCGTCGCTATCGCAACCTAGCTGTTAACCACAAGACCGAGTAAAGGCGCAGATATCGCAGCCTAGTTGTTAACCACAACACAACGTGCAATACTACAAAACAACGTCTAAACCACCCTTTTAAAAGTAAAAAAAAATTGCCGCCGCTATCGCAACCTAGCTGTTAACCACAAGACCGAGTAAAGGCGCAGATATCGCACCCTTTTGAAGAAAAAAATAGAAAAATATTTTTTTTTTGGAGAATCGAACCCCGATCAACCTGATCACAGGCGTAACAAGCAGACTGCATATCAACTATACTAGCGAAGACTCGGTAATTTCGTTCAAACAAACTTGTATAATAAAAGAAGGCATTTCCTGTTCCATATTTTTAACAACATGACCTCTTAGGTCCCTAACAACGACCTCTTGAGGCCCTGAATGGGATTTTTTGTCTTTGAATAATATGGGGCCGGTATTCGGAAGAGTGCCAAAAGAAGTTATTACTGTCATTTCGGCGTGGAAATAAAAGTGATATTACAGCAGTTATTTTATGTGTACCAGCTCATACGCTAGCTCATTAGTAAACTATTTGAAATAGTTTCCTATGTAAAATAATGCAGACCAGTACTAGGGTCTTGACTGAAAACATCACATCATGCATTCATTTCTGGTGTCTAATATATCTCTTGTTCGCTGGATATCAATATGAGGCCCTACTGGCAAATTTGGCCGGTAAGCTGGACTGCTTCGGCCGGCTTAGCGGGGCTTAGTGGGAGTTATGTCCCTTCGCGTCCCTTCGCCAAACTCAAAACAAGTCGCGGAAAAAGTCACGAATAAAATGACATACTTACCTATCATCATCCAGGTGCGTGTAGGGTTACGTCTAGGGTTACCTATCATCATACGGTTACGCGTAGGGCTGTGTAGGGTGTCTATCATCATCATACGGTTGCGTGTAGGGATGCGTAGGGTGTCTATCATCATCATCATACGGTTGCGTGTAGGGTTGCGTAGGGTTTGGGTTAGCGGTAGGGTTAGGGGTGTGGGTTAGGGGTAGGGTTAGGGGGAGGGTTAGGGTTAGATGATGTGAAAATATTCACGTAGGAGGTGGAAATACTGGCCAACAATCTGATGCATGTGGGAGTGGCGCCACTGGAAGTGTGCAAAATATGACGGCAATAGCGCGGCTGGTGCCCAATCGGTGGCGAATTGTTCGTGTCAGTAGCATCCACCGTCCGTCGACTGTTTGCGCGTGCATGCGACTGTGCGCGATTGTAGGGAACTACGGCGTCACAATTGTCACATCAAATGCTACACCTAACCCTAAACCCTAACCCTAAACCCTAACCCTAACCCCTAACCCCTAAACCCTAACCCTAAACCCTAACCCTAAACCCTAAACCCTAACCCTAACCCCTAAACGCTAACCCTAACCCCCAACCCTACCCCTCATCTATCTTACGCAAACAACCAACCCTACATGCAATAAGCAGCCCTACACGCAACCGTAGGACGATGATAGACACCCTACGCAACCCTACACGCACCCGGATGATGATAGGTAAGTATGCCGTTTGATTCGTGACTTTTTCCGCGACTTGTTTTGAGTTTGGCCAAGGGACGTAACTCCCACTAAGCCCCGCTAAGCCGGCCGAAGCAGTCAAGCTTACCGGCCAAATTTGTCAGTAGAGCCGAGTATGATCATGGCTTGTCCCCCCCCCCATCCCCAAAGAAAAAGGTGCCAGCACTCAACACAAAATATCTATTAAAAAAATTATTAAAAAAAAGCTGCCTGTACTCACCACAAAATGTTCGTTATGTAGCGCTGAAAAAAGTGAGGCCTACAAAAATAGGGAGATACTCTCGGCGGTGGCGGTAGTCGCCGTAAGTCCGCAATTTACATGTGAGTGAGGCCCTGTTAGGGTATATTTTCAGCCTCAATAATTTAGGACTGTTATTCTGAGGATAGCCCACAAATATATGCCAGGACTGCGTGCTGTTGTGCACAATCAGAAATAAAACACCAAACAAAACACTGATCTCGAAAATTGACAGCAAGGGTCAGAGTTCAGAAATATTTCAGCTTTTTAATTTCATTATCCGTAAAAAAAAGTGAAACGTTTAGGTAGGTGCTAGCTGTTTTACAACCGTTAGAGATAGTTATGCCAATTCTTATTTAAAAATGTAGTCTCTTGTAACATGTGACTGTTATATTATGCATGGCTTTGGACAAATTATGGCCGATATCTAAAGCAACAATGAAATGTGTGTCTTAAACCATCATTCTTAACTAAGACAGTATCACTAATTCTATCCCATTGTCAAATAATGAATATTTTCCAAATTGGACTTAAGAATGTCATTGATGTAACATATACACATGATATTTTTGTCTGCAGGGACCATCAAAGACGGTTTCACAGACAAGCTCGTATAGTAGTACAACAGACCCAGATTCTGTACTTAGAGAGTTTGGTATTTCCATTTCTGGTGAGAACGCTGCATTTATTTTACTTGTTTTTTTTTGTTTTTTAAAATTATTTATATGAACCAAATAAATGGTTCATATAAAGCTAAACTTTCTATTACGGATGAAAAAATATTCCAAATATCAGACAGAACAACTTTAATATTTTATTTAATATTCAGAACACCGGTATATTTAGGGCTGCATATTTAAACATCAAACAGAACAACTTTAAGAATATATTTAATATAATTAATTATGGTAGATAATATGTTTTTAATTTTTGCAGGCTAATCAGCATAGTCTTCTTTTTTTGTGTGCACCAGCTGTAAGCTCCAGCGGAAAGTCCTGATTGTTCATTCAGTTGGACTTTGGCTTTGTGTTAGGGCCTGAGTTTTGCATGTACATCTGTTTTACGAACTTATTGTGTGCAGTTGGCTGTTCCTTGTTCCTTACTGTTTGGGCAGATGCACTCTGACTTCCAAGGAAGCCCCCAATTAGTCGACTCCTACGACATGCTTGTTGGTTCTGTTCTTGTTTTCCCCGCAGTGGGATCTCGGAACCCACACGGGAAAGTCAGCATAATTATAACATGCAGTATAAGAACAGCCATAGGGCCTGCAAGGATTAAAATGTCACATTCACCCATGCAGAGGCATAGAGAGTCAACAAAAGAAACAAATTACAGAGGTTCTAAGTAACACTAATACTGTAGTTAGTGAGTATTTAAATAAAACTATGAAATGACAAGCTGTGACTGTCAGAGCTGCCTGAGTGAGTGTGCTTAGGGAATGGTGTGGGTCTGGGCATCTGAGTGGACAGCTGAGGGAATCAGGGGGAAAGACATTGTCGGGGGTGTGGGGAGGTGGCTGCTAGGAGTGGAAATGGGGAGGGTGGGAGTTCCAGACCAGGACTTGTGAAGCAGATAATGAAGGGAGGCTGGGGGAATAATATGGATAATACCATGTATTTATATGTATATTTAATTGCAACACTCCGCATATGAGATGGACCCCCTCCCCTCATTTTGAACTTGAAAGAACAATTTGAGAAAGCATATCATCTTATACTTGGAAAAACACGGTAACTTTATATATATATATATTTTCTGTTCTGTTGTTCATCCATCACGAGTGATGATGACCACTTTCATCCAAAGTGATAACTGGATGAAAGTGACTTGCGCAAGGACTTGGATTTAAGTGAGGAAGAGTTGCGCAATCCGTTGACCTCACTCTCTCGCCTGTGTCCATCTTGATCTAATGACGGGGCAATGTCGTGGCGTTTGGAAATGGACCTAGGTGCAGTGGATGACCGAGGCGTCTTAAGGGCCCTGCCTTGCACGAAGGTCTCCACAGAGCCTGCTGGTAATCGCCTTCTTGTCCATTGAACCAATAAGAGATTTCATCAGCACAATCCACCCAAGTGCAGTCTTTGCATGCAGGGTAGACATATTCCAGTCACCGAGTGGTTTAGAACCAGGTCTGCTACCCTCTCCTGGTTTAGCCAGCCCGTCAAAGCTGTTTATTTATATAAAGTAATTAAAGGACATTTTTCCACTCCTTCAGGTGTATTGGGCGTATAGGGCTAGACCTATATTTTATAGACCAACTGGCACTCGGTGGGTGATGTGGTTACTATCATGCCGGCTGCCTTTACTTCACAGGACTCCATTTGGTATCCATTTAAGGCTGGGTTGACCTGGGAGCCAGGGTCATTTTTGAAAAAAGTCATGTATCAGCAGGACCCGAACCCTTGACTTTCCGATCTGCAAGCCAGCGTCTAGCTGCTACACCACGGCTACTCCCAACACACACACACACACACATATATAAATATATATATATATATATATATATCATTTTCATGTCAGTGATACAGAAGTCATTCACTAGTGGTACACATTTTGTTTTCTTCTACAGTTCTTTATTTAGGATTTTGTTTGGCTAGAATATTTGCAACATTCTTCTTAAACATTTATTTTGAACAGTGTTGTCAATGTGTAACACTCAGAATCATTGTTTCAGCACTCCTAAAGTGTATTTGTTCTGTGTCTTCTTCTTTTTCTTCTTTTCTCTTCTTCTAGTGTGCCTCACGGCACCAGGGCAGGAAGAGATCTTTGGAAGAGAGCTCAGTGCTGCCTCTACTCCTGATTTTATCGTTCCTAAGTCAGTCTTTCCTCATTACACCTAGCATAGTACGTAAAAATTTCATTTCTGTCGTGACTATATTTTCCTTCTGTTTTCTGAAGACAGTGTCCATGTTCTGTGTAAAGTTGCCTTGTTAGCACTGTTGATTACAATTACATTTTGTTTTACCCTAGATGCTCCACCACAGCAGACAACAGTAAAACAAAGTTCAAGCATAGCAACAGGTTCTGGGGAGCCACAGACGACTGCAGTGACCCAAGCGAGGTATGCCAAATATAAGAAATAAGGGGTGTCTGCAATCAGCTTTTATGCAAAAATTAATTTACTGAAAAATTGGCTGTTTGTTCCAATGTTGTGCTGTCACTGTCAGGCATGGATAGTTGTGCTGTCACTGTCAGACATGGACAGTTGTGCTGTCACTGTCAGACATGGACAGTTGTGCTGTCAGTGTCAGACATGGACAGTTGTGCTATCACTGTCAGACATGGACAGTTGTGCTGTCACCGTCAGACATGGACAGTTGTGCTGTCACCGTCAGACATGGACAGTTGTGCTATCACTGTCAGACATGGACAGTTGTGCTGTCACTGTCAGACATGGACAGTTGTGCTGTCACTGTCAGACATGGACAGTTGTGCTGTCACTGTCAGACATGGACAGTTGATAAACATTAGCACAAACATTACATGTGATGTGGGCTGTATAAGAAATGCGGCAGGAAATACAAGAAGAGACAAGAGTCACCAGCACAGATCTAAGAACAATGTTAGGCACAGTACCCCTCAATGATTTCAGAGAACATCAGAGAATCAAAGGGTTTGATCATCTGGTCACAGTGGAACAAAATCAGCCGGTAGCGAGAGTGTACTATGTGAGAACAACGGGCTGCAAGGCAAGAAGCCCACCAGGAAACAGATGGGTGGTTGGGGTAAATGAGACACTACAGGAATGCAGTATAACATTAACAGAAACTACACAACTAGCAAGACCGGAAACTAAATATAACTCCTTTCTGAAAACTTTTACAGCATAAGCAGTGGGATGGAAGAAGACAAATTTACTGAACAGAACTTCGACTGGAAAACTCTTTGATGGGAAATGGAACAAGCAGGCACTGAAAAAATCACACATTTCAAATGAAGATTACCAGTACTGTGGAACAATCTGCCTGCTGAAGTGACCAGAAGAGATACAATCAGGATTCTTCTTCTTCACTTCACATCACTTGCTGTAAACTCCATTGGAAAGTTCTGGTTGTTCGTCAACTTCTGAACTTTAGGCTTGTTACTGAACTTGAGTTTTGTGTACATATCTGGCTGATTTGTAAGCAGACTGTTGGTTCCGCGTCTCTCAAGCAGATGCACTGTCATTTACAAGGAAACACTCCTGTTAGTCGAGTATTGTGACATGTTCGTTAGGAGGCTGTCGATCTATTCTATTCTTGTTTCCCGAAACACACACATGGGGAGGGGGGGGGGGGGGGGGGGGGGGCACAATCAGAAATGACATCATAAGAGGAAAAGTCAGCACAGAACTATTTCTAAATTACACAGTTAGAGAGAATGCCTAGCGGGGCCATACAGGGCATACACTAAAGGTAGCGAGGGACATGTAGCTTGGGGTAGAAAGGTAACAGAAAAGCTGTACAACAGTAGTACGATATGTCTATGGTCAGGGCAGCCAGAAGGGCAAGAATGAGAACCTTGTATCTCCCTGTGGTAAAAGAGGAAGGGAAGAAGAAGATGAAACAATCTAAAGTTGAGTCAAGAATTGTCATCACAGCACTCGGGGCACTCCCATGTGTGCTCCGTCCTCAACTTCAGCAGCGAGCACAGAGTTCCAGTACTGATGGTACCGATCACACTCTGGTTATATGTCAGTCTCGCCTTTCCTCTGAGTGTAGTGAGCCGGTCAGACCCTCTGGTTACACCCAGGTACCTAATTCTCTCCAGGCCATAATAATCTTGTTTCTTTACTGATTGTGTTGCTTGTTCCCAAAGGGCCTTGACCACATCCGCCTTGTCATGTATCAGTTCACCATCCAATGGTGGAACAATCTAAAAAGTCAGTCTACTTAAGTTTGGCATAATAAAAAATGTGTTAAAAAAAATAACATTCTTTATGTAGAAGATAAACTTTTGTAGGCATTTTAAACATGGGCGATAAAGAGACAAGTGTGAAACATCTAATCATAGTAGTGATTAGATTTCTGAGGAAAATGTAAATAATATGGACAACAGAAAAACAAAATGACAAATAACATAAAAGAAACAATCATCAATAACTGTTGTCCAAAGATCAGTGTGATAGATGGCTAACACTGTTGTGTCTTGGTGATATCTACTATTTTTGGTCTGATGTTGATCGAGGCACAAGTAAATACTGGACAAAATGTTAGTGTAAAAGATTATTACAAGTTCAGATACACTCAATTTCCAAATTGCCTGACGCCCCTTTTGAAACTTCTTAGGAAGGACGCAACCCTTTGAAACTTCCTAGAAGAGCGCACCACTTTGAAACTTCCTAGGAGGGGTGCACTACTTTGAAACTTTCTAAGAGGGTTACACCCTTTTGAATCTTTCTAGGAGGGTTGCACCCCTTTGAAACTTCCTAGGAGGGGCGTGCCCCTTTGAAACTTCCTAAGAGGGTTGCAACTCATAGGTTTTAAACCACTACTTTAGAAGCAATAACCTATAACTTCACATCAATTTTTGCTTGTTTAATTTTAGCCCACACAGACGCAATATCCAACTGTCTGTGGTGAAAGTGAATGAGATCAACATCCCACCACGAGAGAATGTGGCTTACAGCAAAGAAACACAGACCATTAACCCTGAGCCCCTCGACAAGGATGGTAAGTATTGTTGAGGTTATAATTCTTGCTAGCTCATTAGGACTGCTTTCATACTCATACAGTGCTTTCTGTCTCAGACCCTGCTTGAATAAGAAGACATAGAAACTGCTAGATTTGTGTCATGTTATTCCTATGTTCTTGTTTTAACCTGGCTGTATTAAGCAAATCATAATAAACCTGGAATACTTCCCAGATATGGATTGAACAATGCAGCTGCAAACAGCAAAGAACCGGTCACAAGAAATAGAGGCAAACTTCAAGACTAAGAAAAAGTTGTGGTCACTGTTGAGTATCATATGGAAGTGTTTCCCCATTGCCCTCAGGATAAAATGGTCCTATGGTTTGCTTGCTACAGAAAAGCCTAACTTATGAACTTAGTTTTGTTACCTGATATCTGCCTGCAGTTAACATTTAACCTAACACACATTCAAGTTTTCAAATCGCTGTTTTTTAACAGCAGTTGAGAATTAACTTTTCTTTGATGGTGAAATCATTTAACATAATTTAGATTTAGATTGCACAATTTATTGCCTGGAAGATGCATCTTGAATTATTTATACACTTCAGCCAGCCGTAGATTACTGAGATTTGTGGAAGCAGTCTCTATAAACCAGTCTAATCCAGAATTATGCAGACAAAAGGAGACGCTCTTCACCTCACGTTTACCTTGTTGAAACAGACAGTTTTCGTATGTAGTCGATTTTGTGTTTCAGTTCGAAGGATTCATTTATTGTCTTCATTTTGATCAGTTGTTACTGTAGATAGAGCGAAATATGCCACACAGTAATTGTGCAATCTATGGTTTGTAAATTACTAAATTACTGCTTGTCGATTATTTCCATGCCAGTGAACTGAAGATGTTCTAATATTTGCACTTGTTGATTATTTCCATACCAGTGAACTGAAGATGTTCTAGTATTTCCACTTGTTGATTATTTCCATGCCAGTGAACTGTAGATGTTCTAGTATTTCCACTTGTTGATTATTTCCATGCCAGTGAACTGAAGATGTTCTAGTATTTCCACTTGTTGAATATTTCCATGCCAGTGAACTGAAGATGTTCTAGTTTTTCCACTTGTTGATTATTTCCATATCAGTGAACTGAAGATGTTCTAGTATTTCCACTTGTTGATTATTTCCATGCCAGTGAACTGGAGATGTTCTAGTATTTCCACTTGTTGAATATTTCCATGCCAGTGAACTGAAGATGTTCTAGTATTTCCACTTGTTGAATATTTCCATGCCAGTGAACTGAAGATGTTCTAGTATTTCCACTTGTTGAATATTTCCATGCCAGTGAACTGAAGATGTTCTAGTATTTCCACTTGTTGAATATTTCCATGCCAGTGAACTGAAGATGTTCTAGTATTTCCACTTGTTGAATATTTCTATGCCAGTGAACTGAAGATGTTCTAGTATTTCCACTTGTTGAATATTTCCATGCCAGTGAACTGAAGATGTTCTAGTATTTCCACTTGTTGAATATTTCCATGCCAGTGAACTGAAGATGTTCTAGTATTTCCACTTGTTGAATATTTCCATGCCAGTGAACTGAAGATGTTCTAGTATTTCCACTTGTTGAATATTTCCATGTCAGTGAACTGAAGATGTTCTAGTATTTCCACTTATTTTCATGGCTGTGAACTGAAGATGTTCAAGTATTTCCACCTGACTAGATTAGACTGTATTATAGCAGCTTTTGTTGCAGTATGATTAACTTGGGTGATACATTTTACAATTGTGCGTATGCTGTTGAAGTTATGTATGATGTGGATTGAAAGTGAGAGTTCTAATTATGCTCGCAGCTATGTCTACTTCACAGTTGCTAATATCTAAACTAGCTGCTCTGCAGTTATTCCGTTTATTTATATGTTGTTTATGTAATAAAAAAATAAAAAACCACCATCTTTCTAGCTGGATTTAGGGCTTACAAAAGTTAGGCTTCAGAGAATGCTTAGGGAAGGAATGATAGGAAGGATGCTGCCACCTGTTCAACCCCCCTTCCCGCACCTCGTATTGCTGAGATTTGTTATGTGTGAATTATCACAGAATTCTCCCAACATTATCTATTTTTACCCCAGGAACTCACTAGGAGTACATATAGGGGGACTATATACACACAGAGAATGTAATTCAGGGCAGAGATAGCAATATGGAAAAGACATGGTAGGAACTGCAAGAGATAGTAAAGAAAAAAACTTGGAATTTGACATAATCCGTTCAGAGGTGGCGATCAGATTCCAAATCATGGGAACTCAATATCTTCCAGGGTCCAACATTTGAAATTGTTGATTCTAGCTTCAGTACACTGTCAGTATAGTAACAAATGATGATTATATTTGAATACAAACATTAAACAAATATATATATATATATATATATATATATATATATATATATATATATATATATATATATATATATATATATATATATATATATATATATATATATATATATATATATATATATATATATATATATATATATATATATATATATATATATATATATATATATATATATATATATATATGTATATATATATATATATATATATATATGTATATATATAAAAAGATATGAAAACGTATTTACTATATCTTGATAAAAAAATAAATGGTGACAGCATATAGTTAGAGGAAGAGGGATTTGGGGAAACTGTTGTTTGGAAGAGGAATCACATTCTGTAACAACATCAGGAACCCTGTCTGGTGTTTTATATTGTAGTCTTTCACCACTTACAGAGGGTTTGGGTCATTAGTTTTTGTTGAGAGCCAACGTTCCAAAGTGCTGTGATGTTGACAACCATTTTTAATTTGTTCTCAAATATTCAATAATGTTATTGAAAAAAGTTAACAGACCAGTTAACTAGGGCTCTATCAGGGTACCCCCTGCAAAAATCATGTGAGGTGAGCCGAAACAGGACATGATCAGCACAGTGTACAAAAACAGTCTGAAGCATAGGGGGCACTGTGTAGTAGCATGTGGCTGCCATGTGCCAGGCGTTCAGTTTCCATGGTTAGGTTCAAGTTCTGAGGCCAAATTTACTTGAAAATTTTGTTCGGATTCCAAGTTGATCAAATTGGGAAGTGTTCAAATTCCAAGGTACCATTGTGTTAAATGAATGCCTGGTTATGAGTGTTACTCACATGGAAGCTTTCATCTTCTTGTTTTATTTTGTCATATTAGGCAGGAGAAAGCGCTCACATTCACATGGAAGTGAGTATGCATCCAGTAGTATCCATCCTAGATGATTCCTTATGTTGTGCATTTGTGTCTTGTTCAGTTTTGATTTCATCAGAGAATTAAATAGAAAGACACTCAACTAGTTCTGCCTCAGCTGATGGTGATATTGATTTGATAGAGAAAAATTTACGATAAAAGGTGTTACTGCTAACGTAAATTAAACAGCTGGATCTCAACTGATCAACTGTTGTGACATATGTTTGTGCTTTTTTTTTTACATGAGTAAAATCTTAAAGGACCATTTCATTTGTTATTATACATTACGGATTTGTAAACAAGTTTATAGGCATTAATTTAGAACTGGTTGAGTCTTTATGTTAATAGGTTTTGCTCCCTAAGTTTTATCGTCTTGTGCTGTGACGCCTGGTCTTTCACCGTTCACTTGATCTTAGTTTTATTCACCTTTGAATGCACTTATGTAACTGCATTTGTTGTACGCTTTTTGATGTTTTATTATTTTAAATTGATCTTCAGTTTATTATGTTTTTTTTCTGGTAGTTTAAAATTTTTTTTAGTGTGTGTTCATTACCTTATTTTTAGTGACAGTCTGTATTTTTTGTTGTAGTTTTTAAACAAAAACTTATTTTCACACATCACACATTATAAAATACACATTTGTTTGTATCTGGTCTTTTACTGGAATTATGAGCCTGCCTTATAATATGTGCTGATGAATACAGTGGAACCTCGCTTAACGAGCATAATTCGTTCCAGAATCATACTCGTTAAGCGAAACACTCGTTATGCGAAACCATATTTCTCATATAAATTAATGTAAAATACGATAATGCGTTCCATGTCGAAAAAGATACTCACAAAATGCTATGTATATCGTTTATTCAAAGACAATTATATAAATATTGTTAAGGAGAGTGAATCATCTTCATCTTTTCTTCAAAAAGGTAACGAACCCACCTGGAATGCGAAAATCGATTTGCAGGAAAAAAGTGCGAAATAATTATGATACATAGCTAATTATTATTATTATTTTTTTTTTTACTAGAAAGATGTCCAAAGATTTGTTTTTGCCGACGCTTCAAAATTTGGCAAAAATGCGACACAGCATTATCATTAAATAAATTTGCAACGCGCATAGCCACTTCCTTATTAGGGCAATGCTTCTCAATGTAAGATACAACAGTTTGCCATGCTTTCAGCATTTCTCTTATTTCGCCAGAAAATTGTTGCTTTTCTGTTACCTCCTCCTCCTCCACTGACAAACTTTCCTTCCACAAGCTCTTTGATATCACTGTTATCCACCTACAATCCCATGATAGTGGCCAAAGTCACAATCTCGTTGACTACAGGTTTCACAGGTACTGTCTCGAACCCCTCAAAGTTACAAATAAACAACACTCTCCGGCCAAAGCTTCTTCCAAGCAGAAGTTAGGGTTCTCTTGGTAACCCCTTCTCCCGCCTTGTCGATCATCTTGAGGCAGGTAACGATGTGGGAGTGATTTTTTTCTCCAAAACTCTTTGAGAGCGAGGTTGGTCCCTTCAGTCACCTGAAAACAATGCTCGAAGAGTGCTTTAGTGTAGATCTTCTTAAAATTAGAAATAACTTGCTGGTCCATGGGCTGGAGTAACGGAGTGGTGTTGGGAGGCAGAAATTGGAACTTGATGAATTTAATTCTTCAGAGAGGTCATCTTGTAGGCCTGGAGGATTCATGTACATATATCAAAATATAACACAAGTTTGAGAAAATGTGTGATCACAAGTGACACTACGATGCTACTGGAACAAGTGCTAA